CTTTTTGATTATAAGGAATTTTTTGACACTCTGTCTCTGTGTTCTCAGAAGCCAGAGCCTGTTTGTCCGCCATAGACGATTTTACTGGCGATGTCCCAGCAGATGATTTGTTACCAGAGGTAGCTGACTTACAGGCTGGAATCGATTCTTTGACTACCTGTTCTGGGAGAGTTACAAGTTCAGCACTAGTCATGGAGAGGTCCTCCTCACAGTGAGTCAAGTCTGAAGTAACGGAGGATGAGTCTTTGGCAATCATCTTATCCTGAACCTTCTTTTCTCGCCTGCTCTCTCTAATTTTATCACTAATGCTTTTCTTATTTACCTCAACCAAGAAAGCATCTATCTCCTTTTCCTCTGATGTCTTGGCATCATCATTATTTCGCTGATCTATCACAGAGCTGGATAAATCAACATCTGACACGGTTTGCTTTGCAAACCTCTCTGCAATCGTTTCCTTATCGTTCTGTAGAGTCACCGAGGAACCCTGTTCCAATATCGCGAGTCTAGCCTCAAGCTCTTTATTTTTTTGCTCTAGTTCCTCTACTCTAGCGTCACGTCTGACATTCTCCTCAATAATCTGCCTCAACTTCGTGATCTCTGTCTCAAGCTCGTAATTCTTAGCCACAAGTCTAGCATTTTCTTGCCTAAGTAAGTCAATCTCGGATTCCATTTTTGATAACACTTTTTATACAAGTATTCAAAATAAAAAAGTCATTGTGTCCGTTCCAATTTGGAACGCAGATCACTTTTGCCGAGAAAAAATGGTTTATTAATAGACGCAAAATAAATATAACGTTCGGGACGTAGCCCGTGATACATGTAATTTTGTTTTACAAAGTAAAATGTTTCTATACTAATGCCTACAAACCAAACCAGTGTTTTGTTATCTATACTAACACCATTAACTCTTCCGATTTCGTTTTTCCCGACATCGATATTCTGGATAGAATAAAATGGTCGTCAAATATGCATAAAATACGCGAAGCCGGAAATAAATTAACAATATTGACCTTAGTAAAACTCACGTTAGTAGGTAGATCAAAGTAAAAGCGTACGAGTCCCATTACCAACCACCTACGAAACGTGCATTGCACGTTTTTTGGCTTCTTGGCAACCATCCATCTACGAAACACAGAAAGCGTTCCTTGACTTCTTGGTAACCGTTCACCTACGAAACACAGAAAGCGTTCCTTGGCTTCTCGGTAACCGTTCACCTACGAAACACAGAAGCGTTCCTTGGCTTCTCGGTAGATCTAGGTCTACAGAAACAGCATTTCTTTGACTTGATCAGGGACAAAAACACTGTTGTAAGTTACCCCCTCGGATAACTCTTCTTATATAACTTCCTTGAACCTTTATAAATAAGCCACACCCCGGCTACACACCTGGTAAACAAAAATGGTATATTATATTTTTTAGAATATAAAACATATGGCGCAAAAATCACCATATTTTATCGAAATTAAGCACCACCCCAAACTTTTTTTGCGTAACATGTTTAGACTGCTATTTATATTGTGCGAGGGTGGTGTGGTAAGTCCCCCAGAATGAGTTACACGAAAATATATCAGGTACGTGTAAAGCCATCTGTTCAGTCACGTAAATACATTTGGAGACTATTTTAAAGTGAATTACGCGTTTTTTTTCGTTTAATCCCTTTCACGATGACCACAAAACTATCAAGGTGGCTTAAGAAAAATTTAAAAGGTAATATTAGAAACAATTTGGATGCAACAATTGAGAATCTACTTCGATTGGACCCTCCCATAAACAGAAAGAGTGTTATCAGTGAACAAAAAAAAGCGTTATTGTCATCAATAAAAGTCTTGTTAAAAAATAACAAAGAAAAAGAGTACGAACTACTAAAAATGTGGCTTAATTCTGAGGAAAGGAAGAAAGAAATCGGAAGGACATTGAAAATTATAGATAAAAAACACCAAGCTACTTTCAAGAGAGCAAAATTTTTTTCAAGTGTTGTACAACACGCGATTGGTAGTTTAACAGATTACGAATTCGAGAAAGAAACGCAAAAGCGAAACGTACAAGAACAAGTCGAGAAAGAAGAAGCCGAGGAAGATGTAGAAGATGAAGAAGCCGAGGAAGATGAAGGAGTTGAAGAGGAAGATCATGATACATTATATAATAATAATATTCAGCCCTCATCTCCTCGTATTTTTCCACCGACTTCACCAATTAAAGCTAATCCTGCTCATACTCCTACTTCTCAACCACCGCCATCACCTTCTCCTAAGGAAGATCGAAAAGAGAAAGGACAAGGCGCTTCGTCTCTAGAAATCCCGCAACATTTCTCATTCTCTCCCTCGGAACAAGGCGCGTACGCCGAACCAATCATCCAATATGTCGATAAAGCATTTTTCAGATACATAAAAAAACATCAAAAGTACATTCCTTGTAGTACAGTGGAAAGCTTCGCAGCAAGATGTAACCCTCCGCGCGAAAGTGATTTCTCCAATGCAGATCTTCTCTGCATCCTAAATTTTATGATTCAAAATATTTCATTGTTCACGATCGGTCGGCCCGACCAAACATTATTCTATGGAGATTACAAACTTAACCCAACGGATCTGTTCAAATCTTTTAAAAACGAAGCTAGGAATCACCTTGCGCATGGTATCACACAATCAAAAGGGAGATGGAATGATGAGAGACTGCAAAGATTATCTGCATTGGCTTTAGAAGTAGTCGTATGTTTGGGTAAGTTTAAGGGATATAAACATAAATATCATTCCAGTGCTTATAATATTAATTGAGAACGATCTGTTCTATCTTTTTGTGTGTTTTATTGGTAATAGGAGACAAAAAAGCATTCGAGCAATTGAAGGAAGTTAAACAAAAATTAGAATCAGAACTTATGGAACGACGAACTCGAGTGATGAAGAGAAAGCGCAAGGAGCACGAGGAAGATGAAAATGTGAGGAAAAAAAGTCCGAAAGATATAGATCTTAGAAATTTGTTAGATTTTTCTTTATACATGGTGAGTAAATTGGAGTCTGATGATGAAAAAGAGTTAAAGCGAATGGTGCAGTTAGCTGTAGACATAGATAATGCATTTGTAAACATCTGGAGGGGTCTGGAATCTCAAGAGAATGAGTACGAAAAAGTTGAAAAGTTCGTGATTCTGATGAATTTCCGATTTGATATGGTAAGTACTTCAGATGCTGTCCCTCAAATGCTTGTTATAATATATAACTGATTTCATGATATTTGCTTAACAGCATCTCAAAGTAAAAAAGGGAGACACAACATCATGATTTGAGAATTATATTAAAAGTTCCGATATTTATTAGAAAGACGAGAAACAGTCTTCCTTGAACCAAAAACAAAGAAAAGAAATTTTTTTTATTAATAGTATAAATTTATACTTTTTTCCTCTGCTTGATTTTTTAAAACATACTCTTTTAGCAAATATTACTCGTTTTTCTTTTTCAAATCTCTGCAATATTGTACCCGATGCATGTACTGTAACATACATTGTACAACACTATATAAGAAAAATATTTATACATTCATACCATAAAAATCACAAATCACGATGGGAAAAACTTTATTACTTTGTGGTTTAGTAGTCATGTGATGGCGTGAATAATCTTCACGGAATCACGTGATAAATAATTACAGTCTACAATACTTTGGATTTGGGTACTAGATAGGTTTGATATAGCATTGACACTAAAATTGTTTCACCCACTTGAACTTGTTTATTACAAACATCTTGTATATTATATTCCTTGCTTTTATGCTTCCTTATCATTCTGTTTCACTATCACAAGCCTAGCCTCTAATTTCTTTAACTTGGTATTACACCTCTTGTTATATTCCCCATTCGCTCTTAGAACCTTGGCATTCCTGCGCTTAAGTTCAGCTATTTCAGCATCAGACACTGAGAGCTTGTTTCTAAGATAGGGGATCTCAGTATTCTCCTTCCTAAGCTCTGTATTCTCAGCCTTAAGTTCAGTGATGCGCTGTTTCAATAATTCAAGCTCGGATGACATGATTATTAATATTGTTTTTTATATGATAGGAAATATTCAATGTTATATGTAAAAATTTTTTATTATTACATGCGAAGAATAAATACAAATGTTCGGGACTTAGCCCGCGATACATGATGATTTTTTTCTATGCTAATGCCCCTATTATTCTGTTTTTACCCGCTTTCCATCGACCAATGATGATTTTTGCTGATCAAAAACCCATTTGATTTGCCCAAATAATTTCTCGATAGGTCCAACTAGGTCATCGTAGGATAATGATGGGTAGTTGATAGGTAGAGGTGTAGGCGTAGGCGAACACAAAAAAACTTCGACCGGATTCCCATCACCATTATCATTCCCATCTCCAATACCACTTTGAACTTTTGTTATTACCCAGTCGACACCTGAAATTGGATATCAAATAAAAGAGTTAGTAATAATCGCATTGATTTTGATCAAGTAGTAATTCAGGTCATATTTTTCGAATTTGTTTTACAAGCATACCCGTTGAGACAATGCAGTACATTGCACCTTCATATAAATCAGCATCATCATAAGTACGTTTTTTGCGATTACATTGCAAAGATGCATGTGCTTGGACAGTGCTCTGGGCAACACCTTGGTTAATATCTTCTCGTTTTGCTTCAGTTACAGAAATGATTGTGTCTCCCATTTTGATCACCCAATCTATGGGTCCCTTTCCATGACTTCCAGAGACTTCATACTGGGGATAAACTTTTACAGTACCATCGAAGATGGACGCCACACCATATATAATCGCAGAAATAAATTCACAGCGGGTGGCCTCATTCGCGCTAGTGATTGGTGGGGATGCCTTGTGCATTCTTAAAAAATCCTCAATCACACTATTCCTGATTTCTTCTGGAGTTGCTGAACTTCCAATCTCAATACATGGTAAATGATCATAGCTATCAGCCTTCAAACCGAAAAGAACCTTCATCTTGGGGAAAGTATATGAAGAGAAAGGTTGTTGCGCTAAAAAAACAGCCATACATAAATTAGCTGATCAGACATTTGGTAGAATCGGCACGTGAATATCCTAAATATCTCGATAATACTTACACGTATCCACAACTATTTCCAGATCCACCTTGGGGTCAACAGTCCAGATAATGCTCAATAAATCCTCATCAGCAGAAAACTGAATAACTTTACGCTCTGTCACAATCTCAACCGTATCACTTGCACTCTGGGAACTCGAACTTGCCTGGTCTAATTTTTTACGCATTTTACCTGTCGAAATTTTTCTCTTCAAACCGGCACCACCTACTACACGACCTATTACGATATGCTCGTTTTCTGTCCCATCCGGAAACGTGAAATATTCACAAAGCTTCTTCTTAAAACCTTCCAACGTCACCGTTTCTCGGGTCACTGTCCATTGAAAATTCGCACTCTTACGCCAATAAGTTGCGGTGCAGTGAACTTCTTTCGTCTCAACAGGACGCTGTACGATTATATGTATATGCTCGTCGGCTGGTTGGGAAGGAAAGTGTTTGCTAATCTTCGAAAGTGGAAGTAGTTCCACGCCACCAAGCTCCTCCTTGATATTAACGTTTACTTTTGTGTTGACGAGCTTAAGTTTTTCGTTTTCTTCTTCGAGGGAAATGTCGACCTTCCATAGCTTGAGTTTGTCGGCGTCAACGTTAGCGAAGTCATTCTGTTTCTTCTCCTTGATAGCGTCCCTGAGTTCACTAACCGCCTCTGTCTTATTAACTTTTACGTTGAAAGCATTTTCATAAGGGTTTTCTCCTACAACCAAACAACTGAGTGTGATAGTTGACATAGCGCTTTTATAGGAATATTTGGGTCGGATAAAAAATAGTGTTACGTTCCGGAGTGAGATAAAAATTTATTTCTGTTCGGGAAAGAAGATACTAGGCGTTAATATAGGTTTTTATGTCGCACAGGCATTGCATCATTTCACGTGACCCGTTTCTCATGTACAGTACGTTCGACAAAATAATACTTTATTTATGAAACAAGAACGTTGCCGATAGCCGGCCTAAAATACATAAAATTTGCGTCTATAGCGCTACATGATACTGTGAAATATTAACGGGAATATACGGTGACATGAAAGAATTCTGTTCGAGGTTGTTGACCAAAAAATTTAGAAATCGGATCCGCAGAATCCATTTTCTTTTCTTGAACACCCCCGGGATGAATTTGATAAAGGCTTAAAGAAACATCTAACTCCAATCTGGCTTTAATTGCATTTACAAGATCACTGACATGTTGACCTGTACTAATTGTAATCGTTTGGTGTACCGCATTACATTGGACATCATTAAAATCCCCCACCGGAACGATAAGGCAGTTGAGAGAAATATTGGCCATATTTCGTTTTCTGAAATACAAGGCTCATAGTGAGAAGTTTCTTTCGGCTTGACGCTCGCTCTCATACATACACAACTTCTGGCATATACATACCTTAAAATTTTTTACGGGAAAGTTGGCTGAACTTCCACATACCTCTACATGCTTTATATCTTGCTGGGAAAAAAGATAAGGAGATAAGAATAGTGATTAGCATTGTCGTATGATGCCAAGAGTTTCATGAAAGCACATGTAAACGGAATCCTCTTACCTTTTCACATGGGGATCTACCGGAGAAACATATAGTTGGTTTTATGCCTGGCGATCTCGAAATTGTGAGTCCACCAGCCTTTCATAACACATGCTTTTGTCGGCACTATTTACTTATAGGGAAGGTCCTGTGTTGCAACTAGACCTCCTTTCACATTTTTCTCACATTTGTTTGGGGAAAAAAAGATAGAGGTACTGATTAGCGAATATGCGAAATTAATATGCAAAATGTCGCACAGACCTATTATGTGATCAGCCTATTTTGTCGCACAATCTATGGCTCAGCGAATTCTTCCGAGCTGGCGATCACTGACCTCGGACTGATGATCAGTATTCCGGACTCGGCCATAGGCACCTTCGGTAAATTTTCCGCATTAAATATATTACTTTACTATTAGCAATCATGATGAATAACAATACTCTTACGAAAGAATCACTTGATCAATTATATGAGGTGTTTTTATATAAGAAGAAAGATATAATAGCTATTCAGAAAAATCTTAGTATTAATGCCAAAGCAAATCAAGAGGCAGTGCGTCAAAGCAAGAAAGAGATAACACTTGCTGATTCATATGAGTTGTTGTTAGATTTGGTGGGAGATATGTTATCAATACAGGAGGAACTCAACATTGAAGTCAGTCCCATCCTAGAAGTGGAACTTAGGAGTTATAAAGCTTCTACAGATATATCATATGGGCAAATATATAATTTGCTTTTATGTTTAGAAGATGTTATAGTGGCAATTCAGGATTAACTCGGTATTGTTGGTTATACTAATCAAGAAATGGCAGAAGAGGCTGATAAAAATGCAAAAGAATATCTTTGAAAGTTTGAGAAATTTCATGGTCTCTTAGAAAATGGTCTAGATGTGATACTAAAAAAATTTGGTAAAGTGTGAGTAAAGAAAATTTGGTTTACCAGGAAAGGACTTCTATTATTTCTGAAGGTCTCTCCTCAACAATTGCATGAAATATTCGTCAAAAATCTAGCTAGTGCTAGTCAGTGCCCATATCTAAAACAAGTTAGCTAATCTATATTTTTTTTTGTCGCACAGGGTATATCCAGAGTTGGAAAGTGCAGTATTAATACAATGATTAGTACAATTAGTACAATTAGTACATTATAATAATTAATATAAAAATTAGTATAAGTACAGTACAAGTACAGTGGTAATTTTATCTAGTACATACAAAATTCCTAACCCTGCTTATATCACTGTCATCCGGTATCGCATATTTAAAATGTGTGTCAGGTTATGAGTGCATGTGTCTGCATCACAGCTCTGATCACATGATACAACCAATTAGAAATTTGTGATCATTGTATTGCACTAATAAAAATATCTCCATATCACACTAGATTTTCTTGCTTTTTTCTCTCACACTTTCTTTCAAATAAAATGAATAAAACAAAGAATAAAACATTATTATTTTAATTTCAAAAGTGTAGTAGAACTACTTTTTACTACTTATCGTATTTTTATTTTGATAAGTGTTTCAATGGCTGAACTTATAACAATGAAATTAAGTTAGTTACACAATTCAAGTTATAGTTCGTTAAATTACAGTATAAATATCAAATCGCAAAATAGCCTATAAGTAAGTCAATTTTGCATACTTTTCTTTTATATTATCAAAGCCTTTTTTGTTTTATAAATATTCTTTAAATTATACATAAAATATAAGTTAAAAATAAGAGTTTTTTGGATAAAATAGATATAGTTTATCTAATATAGAGTTTATTTAATAATTTAAATTTTTTTATGAAGATAGCTTTAATTTTTATTTAATTTATAATATAGCATTAATTCTAATTTTAATTTATTGTGTATAATAAAATCCATTCGTTTATTATTTAATTTATTATGTATAGTATTTATTTATTATTAATTTATTGCATAGCATTAGTGTAAGAGTTTGAAATTTAAGTTGAAGAAGTGTTCTATGATAAATTTATTGATTATTTGTAAATAAGAATTTGTTTCGATATACTTTATTAAATAGCATTAGATTCTTTGTTTATTTATCATTATTGTTTGTTATTTATCTTTATCATTATTTAATTTTTAAATTTTATATTTATTTTAGGTTTTTTTATGGGATTCCCTTTTCAAACTATTAAAACTAATTCTCTCTTCATATCACTCATATTTAATCAAAAACTTTAATGTTTTACCATTATATCAAACTGCTCTATAAGAAATTTATATACGGAATTGTATACAGTAATAATATGTTTTAATATTCGTAAAAATATATAAAATATACTAAATTATGTATATTATATACGTAATCAATTACATATACAAAATAAGGAAATTGTCAGAATTACGAATATTTAAAATTCGTAAATTACGTATATTATATAAGTTATTTCAG